AAAAAAAAAAAAAAAAAAAAAAACCCTGTTTCCAAACACCATCACGTTGTGCTGGCCTCAGGGTTGACCTATGGATTTGGGAAGCACAGGTGAGCCCAAAACCATACCCTTGTGGACTTTAGTCTCATGGGATAGATGTTATTTACCCCAGAATAATGGAAATACATGCACACCTCTGATAAAGGCCATGAAGGAAACAAAGGAGGGGGGTGCGGGGGGAACAGGCAGTGGAGAAGAGGCTGTGTGATAAGTCCCTGTGAGCCGAGATCAAAGGAAGAGCAGAAACATATGGAGGACAGAGCCGGGGGCTGAGCTACCCGGGCAAAGCACGCGTTGTGTGGCGAGGTTGTGAACTGACAACACCGGGTGTGCGCTTCTCAGAGCAGCATACGCTGGGAGCACCAGCCGCAGGAAGGCAGGGATCCCAGTGCTTCAACTCCCCCCACCCCATTCCGCAGAGCTGGCAGCGAGGTTCAGCAAGTTGCCCAAGTCCACGCCGCTGGTACTCATATCTCACCGAGCTGGAACTCAGAGCCGGGGGGGGGGGGGGGGGGGCGCTGTCCAGCTCTGGCACACACATGCTTCTCCCTCAGGACTGATGCGAGACAGCTCAGGAATTCTGTCTTTCCGTAAACTGCCAGAATAAATGGCCCTTTAAAAATTCCAAGCTTGTTAAAGTGATTTCCTCTGTGTTGTGTGTCTTCGTGGCACACAAGAATTCGGTGAGTTGAGGATGGCTCGGAAGCCAGAACACACAGGTCCCTCCCCGCCCTCTTGGCCTAAGGGGTGCAGTTAAGCATGGGACACACCTGGGACTCCCAGTGAGCCCCAAGGTGTCAGGGAGCCGGAGCTTTCTCCCTTCTTCTTTTTGTTCCCTGGAAGTTGGGGATTTGGATGGGAAAGATGCCTGCAGGAAGCAGCACCCGGCCACCCCCGGTCGTCTCGGGGCCACGGCCTCTGGTCTGCTCAGAGCTCTGCAGCCAGGGCCCTTGCTCACCCTTAGGACAAGCCAGGGATGCCGAGGCCTGGCTCCATTCCCCGCAAGCCCCACGCATGCGCCTGCCTCCCCAGGCAACCTTCCCACACAGTGACCTCGGCCCAAACTCCTAGCTCACTCCCCCAGCAGCAGTAACCGCTACCCCTCCGCCCAGCACTGCGCTCCATGCTTTGTGCAAGTCTTCCACCTCCGTCCCTCCCAGCCTCCGCCGATCCCCACCGCACCTTCGTGACTGTCACTCTCCCCCCAACACGGGCTCACTATGAACAAAGAAACCTCTATCCTAAACACCACGAAACAACACGCGTGGAACACCATCAATTCTTTCCTGACGCACATCACAATAACCATGAACGCCAAAAAACGCCCATCTAAAATCACCTCGCAAAACCCACTCTGGGGGAGGCCGAGCAAACCCAATTCTCACCGTACAAACGGGCTCTCAACCCTTAAAGAGTTCTAATTCCTGACTGAAATCCCCGCTGCCCCAGGGACCTGAGCCCCGCCCTGGGAATCGGATCCCGAGTTTCCCACGGGATTCTGCAAGCTCTCGGCACGTGCCCTCTGTGCCGTCTCCACAGCCTCGGTTGCCGCCGGAAGGATCCGAGAGCAGCGCCCAGTAAAACCCGCGGTCTCCGACAGGGAGGACAGCGCGGCCTCACTTACCCTCCGTTTGTAGGAAGACAGGACTCCTTGAGCTTCCTTCCATTGGTGGGACCTTGGCCCTTCACCCCCAGGTCGGCTGCACCCACGACCCTGGTGTGAGAAAGCGCAGATAGAGCATCTTCACTTCACAAGCGGGAAGCCGTAGGTACCACCTTCACTCTGGTGGGCATGTTCACCTAACTGTCAATCAGGGGAAGCCCACCCCCGGAAGTACCGCCTCTTACGCGGGACGTGGGGGCGGTGCCACGTAAACACATCCGGTTTTCCAAGAATATATAAAGCTAGGAAGGCCAGCGCTCTTTTCACGTGGACGGCGGCCGGGCCGAGGAGCTGTGTGTGGTAATTCCTTTTTTGCCATCTCGGCCTTAATAGAGCCCTAGTGGGCCTGTGTATGTACCTCACTGTGTAAGTAAAGTTGACGACACTGCGCGCCATGTTTGTTCCTGTGTGTAGAATTCTCTAACTAAAGGCAAGAACCTGGAAAAATAATTTAGGGCCCCTGTCCAGCCCATAATATTTGACGCAGCCAGCCAGGGGACAAGTTCGATGTCAAACATGGCAGTGTGACTTGCTGAGCAAACTCGCGGGATTTTTACCTCAGCAAACGCGCGGTTTTCATTTTTCAGCAGGGACGGAGCGGAAGCCGTCACGGTTTCGATTTTGGTTGGGGTTTCAGAAGCGGCGGAGCCCTGGAGGCGCCTGCCTTGCAGACGATTCTTTCTGAAGCTAAGGCGCAAGTGTTACTTTTTGTTCCTAATCTTGGTGAACAACAGCCAATGCAAAAATGCTCAGGTTAATGGCGTCAGGGAGCAGAGGGGCCAGTTAACCAAGTGTTTGCTGATACTTAAGTTATTTCAAGTTGTTTGTGAAGTATTTTTAAGAGCCGGCGCCGCGGCTCACTAGGCTAATCCTCCGCCTTGCGGCGCCGGCACACCAGGTTCTAGTCCCGGTCGGGGCGCCGGATTCTGTCCCGGTTGCCCCTCTTCCAGGCCAGCTCTCTGCTATGGCCAGGGAGTGCAGTGGAGGATGGCCCAGGTGCTTGGGCCCTGCACCCCATGGGAGACCAGGAGAAGCACCTGGCTCCTGGCTTCGGATTGGCGCAGCGCGCAGGCCATAACGCGCCGGCCATGGTGGCCACAGGAGGGTGAACCAACAGGCAAAGGAAGACCTTTCTCTGTCTCTCTCTCACTAACTGCCTGTCAAAAAAAAGAAGAATATGTATTTGAAAAGCTAAAACTTAAGCCTTTACGTCATACGGAAAGATTTCACGGTTATCTCCAGTTGGTTTGCCTCAGGTTTTGTTTTTCAATCAAATTCTAGAGCAACTTTTCATTTGCTGGTTTTGGGTGGTGCAAGCTGGAAGAAACCAGTTTTTGTTGCTTGATGGCCACATGGTTTCAGGAATACAGTCCAAACGTGGCAGAGGGCCCACTTCCTGTGAGGACGTTGAGACTTACCCCACCACCCCGTGGTGGTTTCTGGGCCAAACACCCGGTGCCAAATGGGCGGATACCTTAGGGACTAACATCCTTACCGGAAGATGGGCAGAGGACTGCAGCCCCAAGATGGCGGCCCCTGTGGCTGGCCACACGGTGCATGCCTGGTTGTCAGTGACTTTATTTCGCTTTTTTCATTTCAAGGCTTCTCGCTAGCTCCCTTATCCTTTAGGCTTTGCTCCAGAATCTGTGGGCCTCTGGGGTTCAGTATCCTAGGCACTGCGGGCCCTTCTGATAGTTTAACTTGGATCAGGCAGTTTTCTATTTGGCCTCCTGGGGTTCAGTATCCCTTGGAAGGCAGGCCTTCCAAGGTTTCATCTCGGACCAGGCGGTGTTTTCTTTTTGTTTTGGCATGGTATTTTAGCTTTACAATGGTTTAAGAAAGAAAAAACTGGAGCCCCTTCAGTGGGCTTGGTAAGATAATGGACTCCGTTTTGTATGCACACTGAGACACTAAGGTGTCTAAATTCCAGCTGATGCAGCGTTCCAAGTCGCATGCTTAAAGGTGATTAAGCTTGTGAAGAGCTGTGACTGTTTTTGCTGCCTTGGGTCCTAGAAAGAGATCATTCAGCTGTATAGTTCTGCATACATTCCATGGGCTTACTTCTAAGGGTACAGTTTGAAAACCTGTTATGGGGTCCTAAATCGTCATTAGTGGATGGTAAAAGCATTTTATGTGTTTAGTGATAACATAGATAGGGTTAAAAGAAGAGAATGCTCCAACATGGGACGCAGTCCAAACAGCAGACTCATAAAATGGCAATTGCTATAAATAACACTCAGTGGCCACATAATCAGCATATAAGGCATTCTGGTCTGGCTAAAAAGCTCATGAGAGAATTTTAGGCATGGAAAGCCAGGAAACTATTGCAGAAAGTGCCCTCCCTATGAAGGACCTTTGTGGCTGAGACCCAAATGGAAAGAAGTGGTCATCAAAGAAAGATGTACGCTTCTCTGAAGAGGGGAGAGGACTTTCACTTTGCTCATGGCCTTGTCTGAAAACTAATAGGATGTGTGGCCAGCACCGAGGCTCACTAGGCTAATCCTCTGCCTGCGGCACCGGTACTCCGGGTTCTAGTCCTGGTTGCTCCTCTTCCAGTCCAGCTCTCTGCTGTGGCCTGGGAATGCAGTAGAGGATGGCCCAAGTGCTTGGGCCCTGCACCTGCATGGGAGACCAGGAGGAAGCACCTGGCTCCTGGCTCCAGATTGGCGCAGAGCGCTGGCCATAGCAGCCATTTTGGGGGTGAACCAACGGAAAAGGAAGACCTTTCTCTCTCTGTCTCTCTCTCTCTCTCTAACTCTGCCTGTCATTAAAAAAAATGGGGTGTGTGGATTCTAAAGGTTTCCATAGCCTAGGCAGCTCATGTCAACATACTTAAGTGATCACCGATGTCATACATAAGAGTGTTAATTGTTAAATTAACAATGTTAGGTATAGAATAGCTCGGGATTCTGGACTTTGGTACACTCAGAAAAGAGAGACAGAAAAAGGAGACGGAGACAGACCTCAGCAGAGACAGGTTGCTTTATTTGAAGCAAAGAGATTGATGACGGTCTACTCTTGCAAAGAGACTGTGCACAGAGCGCATTTAGAACTGAGTTTTTATCCAGTTAAGGAGGGAATGTCCCACGATGGGGGAGGGGTAGAAGGCAGCTAGTGGAAGAGAAGGGGGCTCTTTGAGGCCCCAGGGAACTTTATTATCTGCTCCATAGCTGCTCTGTGCAGCTTGAGTCAGGAAGGGTCTGGTTAGGCACTAAGGGACTCAACAAAAGGGAGGAGGTGGGGTGGGGAAGATGCAAAAAGTCATTTAAACAGCAGGAGTCACTGTGTACTAACTTCCCATGCAGGACCTCTGTCCTCAAAGAGTTGTATTAGAGTTAATGGTAAAATTTGTTCTCAAAGATTCTTTGTTTTAGTGTATTAAGTAGAGGATATTGTTATGTCTCATAGATTTTAGTTATGTCTAAGTATCCAACTCCATTGCTTGTAAGATTTGTTATTCTTAAGTGCTTCTTTCTCAAACATGGACTCTTGGTTCTGTGTCATTCTCACTATAATACTCTTTAAAATCAAATGGAGAGTACAGAATGGTGAAAGGCCTCAGGGCTATTAATAAGGCAGTTGTTCGAATGCATCCTATTGTGTGCTAAACCCTTTCCTAAGGGATACTTCCTTCTGCATCCCATTAAACCCAGAATCTGGGAAAGTGAGGGTACAGAGTTTTCCCAGCAAAGGTTTCTAAACAAGAGGTAGATTACCTGGGATGTGTTCTAACCCCAGGAAAGCCTGCTCTTTCAGTCATGAGAAAGGAAGATATTCTGTGTGTAGGGCCACCACAGACAGAAAGCAGCTAAGGACATTTCTACGAATGGCAGGATTCTGTAGAATACAAATTCCAGGATTTGTGTTAATAGCCAAGCCTTTACATGAAGATTTAAAAAGCCTTGACACTAACCCACCTTTGTTGAAGAGGGGAACCACAAAAGGCGTTCCAAAGAATTAAAGACCTTTTAACCGAAGCTCCAGCATTAGGAATCCCTAACCTGAGTAAGCCATTCACCTTGTTTATAGCAGAAAAGCAGGGGCTTGCTCTAGGAGTACTGACTCAGAAATTGGGTCCACTTCCATGGCCAATAGCCTATTTTTCTGAACAGTTAGATTCAGAGGCTACAGGGTGTCCTGCATGCCTAGGGCTGCTATGAAGCCACCAAGATGACTTTAGGCCAGCTACTTGAAGTTCAAACTCCACACTAGGTACAAGGGGCCGTAGAAATTAAAGACGTCAATGGCTAACAGGGGGGCATCTCACAAAATATCAGGCTCTATTGTTGGATTCCCCTGAGATAACTCTTAAAGCATGCTGAGTCCTCAACCCAGCAGCTGTTGCCACCTGGGGGTATTGGAGAGTTAACTCATTCTTGAGTAGAAACTATAAAACAGGTGTATTCTAGTAGACCTGAACTACAACATGAGCTTTCTGGGGAATCTGGATGTTGACTGGTTTGCTGATGGCAATAGAGACGAAGGAAGGAGTTAGAAAGGCAGGTTATGCCACAGTGGATCTTACCTGGATAATAGAAGCTCCAGCTTTTCCAGGAGACCTCAGAAACGTGGCATCAACTACTGCCTAGTGCCCTCCTCGGGATGAGAATAGCACCCAAGACTGCCTTCAAGCTCAGTCCATATGAGATGCTGTATGCAAGGCCTTTCTCACCTCTGACAGCCCCTTTGATTCAGAGATTCAAGATCAGATAAAGTATATTATCAATTTAGGCCAGGGACAGAAGGCTTTGATGGAGTATGGTAATAAGGTTCTCCCAGTGCCAGATCCTAAGATTCATAAATTCCTATTTCCTCAGGAGACTGAGTCTTACTAAAAACTGGAAGGAAGGATCCCCTTCAGACCAGTTGCAGCCTAAATGGAAGGGACCTTACCAGGTGCTACTGAGCACACCTACCTCAGTGACTACGATGTAGGCAGGCATATAGGATAAAATTGGTTAGATTTGTGAGCTGGAAGACCACCCCTTCACCACGTCCCCTGTGTGATCTCATGCCCCTACCTGACTACACCTCTGTGCCCATGTGCAAATCAGATTAATTAACCACTCCCCTTTGGAAGTGGATTAAAAGCCTGCAGTATGGTGGGCCCAGCCTGTTTTTTCCTCCCTGTACTTGATCCCTTTGCTGCCCCTGGCCTTCGGGGCACATGGCCTTCAGGCCACCTGCTCCATGCTTTCTGGCCTGCATGTTCCTCCACGTGGTTGGTTTTGGCCTACTCTCTGCTCGCCATGAGTTCAGATTTCCCTTTCTCTTTTAGATAGAGCCCTCAATCTCCTATGCATTTTCTCACTGAATAAAAAGCTTAAAACTTAACCATGCTGCTTGGTTTATTTGTGCCAGTATTCAGAATTCTTCTCTGAATTCATAGCAAGAGCCCGCATGGCTTATTAATATGGAAATATTAATAGGCAAATCGTATCAAATCTACAGAGCATCCCAAGCTGGGTACATTTGTCAAGGATTAAACTTCTACCTCTTAAGTCTTTGCAGGTGAACTCAAAAGACACATCTGTTTATTCCTGTGAGCCAATCGAAGATCTTAAATACCTCTTCAAAAAAACAAAAAGATAAGTATTTTGCTTTTGTCACATCAAGACTGTACACTTTAAGGCAGACATTTTTATTGTCTCTGAGAACTGTTATTGGCAGGAAAACTCCTTAGTGGGTTCTTCAATTATAATATCAGAAGATCCCATTGTGCCACATGAAGCTGACTTTAACAGTCTGACCATTGCTTTTGGCAAGCTGGCTCACATGTCAGGCCAGCTTGTATAGCAAGTACTCATGTCTGGGGACACTCTAAGGTAGTTATGGACAATAGACAGTCCTTGAAATATGTATTAATAGAACAAGGAGGAACATGTGCAGTGATTGACAGAATTGCCCCCTTTACTCAAACAGTAATGTGTTTACTAAAAACATTAAAAATCTCTGTGCTTAAGCTAAATGGTTTTATAGTCTACACAAAGACAGCTTATCACCACCCAATATCTGGGAAACAATAGAATACATCCTTTCCATCCTACAGGGCACGCCACTTGCAACTTGTTTTCTTCCAGTTTTGCTCATGCTGATTGACAAACTTGTGTTTCAGAATCCAGCAACATCTAAAAATGATGATGCAGGGCACGCAGCCATTGGCAGTGACCAAAAATTCCCCAGTTCATGAAATGGAGTCATTAGGTGAGATAGGAAGGGATTTTCAGACCCGAGACAGGCAAGCCTGCGTCCCTGATTAGCAAGAAGTAGCTACAGAAGATACGATGAGACTACGTTCTTCAGCACCCCCTTAAGGATAGGGGTCAGAAATCTCTGAGAGGGGATGACGTGGGAAGGCTTAGATAATTTTAAGTTCATGAGCTGGAAGCCACACCTCCTTTGCTCTGTGTTGCCATGTTCATCTACCTGTCAATCAGAGGGTCCCTCCCCCAGGAAGCACCTCCTCTTACCTGGGATGTAGGAGTGGTACCATGTAAATACTTCTGTTTTTCCAAGTGTATAAAAAGCTAGGAAGACCGGAAGCTCTCTCCTTCTCATGGACTCTAGACAAGCAGACAGTGTATGGTAATTCTTTCTTTGGCCCCATTCTCCCTTAATAAAGTGCTAATGGGCCTGTGTATATTCCTCACTTTGTAGAAAAGTTTATCATACTGCATACCATGTTTGGGCCTATATTTAGAATTCTCTAAAGGCAAGAACCTGGAAAAATAATTGAGGTCCGTACCAGCCCATAACAACCCCAGCCCCATCCTCGATACAGACATGTGACTCTGAGCCCAGACACCCTTTTCAAGTCTCCCATCCTCAAATGCATTCACCAGGACTAACAGTGCTTATTATGTGCTGTGGGTTTGGCTGGATTTTTTATTTTTTTCTTGTTTGCTTGGAGTAAGTCAAAGAAAAAAAGTTGAATCCTTGAATTCTCACAGAAACATTTTGACATGGTTCAAAGCCCGATAAGTCCCTTTCTCCAGAAGCAACTGAGGTTAGCAGTTTCTGGCACACCATACTAGAACTCTCCTAACCGTCTCAGTGTTCTGCGTGTTTCATGTGATCATCAAGCTCAGTACTCACACGGTGGCCACCACTCGACAGATGAGACCACTGAAGAGTCCCCAGCTTGGTGGAACCCAAACTCACACCTAGATGGTCCAACTGCAGGCCCTCACGCTTAATCACAAGGCTCTACTGTGTAGCCATGGGTGGAGAAGCCGCTTACCACTGGAGCTGGAGATGCAGGTGTATTTACACAGCGAGAGGAGGCACCTGGCACCGAGAAGACAGGATTGCAGACTTCAGTGAGGGCAGGATGAGAGAGTGACGTTGACACCTCCCAGCCCAGGATGGAGCTATAAATGCAGTACAGGTGAGCAGGTTTTTGTTTTGTTTTAAGATTTATTTTCTTTATTTGAAAGAGTTAGAAGCAGAGAGTGAACCATCTGCTGGTTCACTTCCCAAATGGCTGCAACAGCTGGACCTGCACCGATCAGGAGCTGCTTCTGGGTCTCCACACAGGTGCAGGGGCCCAAGGACTTAGGCCATCTTCTGCTGCCTTCCCAGGCCATAGCAGAGAGCTGGATCAGAAGTGAAGCAGCCATGACTCAAACTGGCTCCCCCATGGGATGCCAGCATTGCAGGCAGTGGCTTTACTTGCTATGCCACAGCACCAGCCCTGAGGTGAACGGTTATGGTGTCTCTGATGGGCACCCACTATGGGGTGAGGACATAAGGCAACAGGAGGAGACCCGATCATTTCTGGGTGCCTGTGGGCCCACAGGTGGCCTGAGATGCTCAGGAGACTTCCAACAGCAGGTCAAGAGGTAGCTGCTTATACATAAATTCTTTCCAAGGTATCACCTCCCTTTCCTGAGCAAATGCAACTATTTCTAAAAGTTCTCATTTTTGTAAATGATGCTCAGGTGTTTTTTTGATCAATTGATTTGAAAGGCCAAGCTACAGAGAGGGGGGGTTGGAGATGGAGAGATCTTCCACCTTCTCATTCAATCCCCAAATGGCTGCAAAGACTGCGGCTGGGTCAGGTTGAAGCCAGGAGCCAGGAACTCCATCCAGATCTCCCACAGAAGGGGCCTAAGCACTTGAGACATCTGCTGCTTTCCCAGGTGCATTAGCAGGGATCAGGATCAGAAGCAGAGCAGCTGGGACTTGAACTGGCACTCATAGGGGATGCTGGTGTCACAAGCTGTCGCTTAACCCACTGTACCACAGTGCCAGCTCTACTGGGAGTTCTTAATGCAGCCCTAGAGGGGGACAGCAACTCGGGTGTCTCCTGCAAGAGCGAGATCTCCCCTCCAGATATTGGGGTGCTCTCCACCTCCCCTCTGTGGCAAACTGGCCAGAATCAAGGGGGTGGCTGGCTGACAACCATGATGCTGGGAAGCCTCGATGTGCACAGGTGGTGAAGGGTATACAGCAGCAAAAGCAAGAGGGACTTAGGGGAGACATGAGGCAGAACTTCCTGGAAGGGCATTTAAGAGGCTCATGACTGTTGAATGTATGATATCCAGGAATACCTACTGCTGGGGTCTGGAAGGGATGACAGACACCTTTGGGGCTGTAAGGAAGGCAGGCTCAGAGGTGGAATTCCATCAGTTTTTTTCTCCCCAGGTCACAGATGCTGCTCTACATAAATAAGCTTTCCAAGCCCTGTCATTTCTAGGGTTGACCCAGAGAAAAAGAGGAAAGGGACCCAAATCACTTCTCATCACTTCCCAGTGTGCCCCTCTCCTCCTGTTCCCCCAGACTGGGTCTTGGACCTGGCTTCTAGGGTCTGCAAGGCTCTCTGGCCCTGCCATACTTCCTGGATGCGGGTCTCTGTCCCTCTGTGCCTCCAGAACTCTCATTGTGAGGTCTCGGTCATCCCCATGTACCTCCGGCCTGTCTCTCTCCAAGGTATGTCTGCAACGGAAACGTCACTATTTAAGGAGCCTTCACCCTGCCTATCACAGGGCCATTCTAGCCCAGCGCCATCTGGTGGCCATCACTTCAAAGCACGGACTCTGAGAATGGGCACTGGGGGTACAGATGAGCCAGGGCCAGAGAAGGTGGGGGAGCCCAGTACATGCATGTCTCTTCTCCCTCTGAGAAGAGACCTGCCTTGAGGCCAGCACCCCCTCATCTGACTCTGGCATTTTCCCTTTAGTGAGTGTTCTGGAAAGCATCTTGTCTCAGCAGCTCAAAGCCCTCTGATTTCCCTCTGTCACTCCAGGATCTGCTCTAAGTTGGTGGCACAGGCATGAGACACTCTGCTGGGAGAGTTCCGGGGCTATGTCTGCCACTGATCAAGTCCCTGTTCCACTCTGGGCTTTCACCATCTCCACTCGATCCAAAAGGGCCTTTGTTTTTGTGACTTCAGGAATGACTTGGGCCACCTTCATTCTCTTAGCAGATGCCCAGACTGGGCTAAGTGCCTCTCTAGTATTATTTCATCCCACTGTCATATGCCCTAGTGGGAAAGATGCCATTGCAAAGCCCATTTTACATGTGGGAAAATGGAAACTTAGCCGTAATTAATCAAAGCCACCAATAGTAAGAGGTGAAATCAGGTTAGAAGAGGTGTCTGACTCGAAGGCGCATCCACTCACTTCCCTCGAAAGTTTGGGAACTGGGAAGGTGTGAGTGTGGACCTCAGATGTGGTGAGAAACACAATGAGGGAGGTGTGGACGGCGTAAACCATGGTCCAGGTCACTTTAGGGCCAGGCAGGCCTCGGTCTACATCAGTCCCCCTGGAGGCCGAGAAGAATGGGCTCTCAATGGAAAGCCAAGAGGAAAGAATGGTGATGTTCAAAGAGAGGGTTACTTAGGAGTTCCTCTGCCTTCCACATGGTCTCTTGGGAGTAACGTCTTCAAGCCTCAGTTTCCTTGGCCAGGATTGTAAAAGTAATCCCTGCTTCACAGAGTTGTGCCAAGGGTGGAGGGGGTAACCATTCAACACGTGTTCACTCAACCCCTGAAACACAGTACCAGGCACTATTTTAGCACCTGGGAAACAAGAGTGACCAACCACAACAATCCCTGCTTCAGAGAGCTTATACTGTATAAGGGAAACACAACCAGCACATAAAACACATGTAGTGATTGAGATGCATTCAGCCAAAGAGAAGAAATATGGCAGGGAAGGTGGGAGGCTCTGGTACTGGGTCGGGAGGACAGAGAAGGACCCACCATGAAGACAACTTTTTGTGAGGAACTGGAGGCAGCTGGGAAGTTGCTGTGTGAATGTTCAGGGAACGAGAATTCCAGGCAGAGGGAATAGCAGGTGCAAACACCCTGAGGCAGTGGTGTGTCTGCAGTGGAGCAGCAAGAAGGTCCACATGACTGGAGCAAGAGAAGAAGAAGAGATTTAGGGGAAGAGCATTGAAACAATGACTCTGTAGGTACCATCAGGACCCTGGGATTTTAATCTGGGGGTAGGGGTCCACGTTCTGACTGAAGTTGTAAGTATAGATCATTCTGGCCACTGGAGAGAAGATGGTGATTAGGACAAGGGCAGTGAGTGAGTCTGATTCTAGACAGTTCATTGAAGGTGGAATGGATGGCTTTGCCAGATCCAGGGATGGAAGAGGAGAGATGGGAAAGACATCAGGCTTCCAGTTGGAAGAACTGGAATAACGGTCCCTGATGTAAGACCACAGATGGAGTGGGATGATTTACAGGGAGGGAGAATGTCCTAGGCTCGGCTTTGGCCTAAGTATGCTTGAGATGCCTGCTGGACATCAAATAGATGCAGGAGAGAGAGCCCAGCCAGAGATAACCGTGGGTGGGGGTCGTTGGCAAGGCAGGGAGGATCCAAGCCATGGCACGGGCTGAGATCACATAGGAAATGAACAAGGAGAAGGAATCAGCATTACAGACAGAAAAAACAAGTGCATGCAGTATATTGGAAGCCAAGCAAAGACAAAGATTAAAGGAGATGGAAAGAGTTTGTCAAGTCTATGTGAGTTCCATTTACCTTTCCCTTGTTGAAAGGTAAATACTTGTTTAAAGGTTTATATATACTCACAGTATAAACCCCTGTTTCACTCACTGGGCTGAAAGAGCAAGTTCAATTGGCCCCCAAGAGTCTGTGCAACCCATGAACTTAACTAGGATGGCCAGTGTTACCCCAAGCAGGGTTCTGACGTTGTCCACTGTTAATGATTAGCTGTGTTTTTCCCCCCAAGGCTGCAAGGATTGTGGAGACATCTGTGTGGCTAGCTGTGCTCTACTCCAAAGCTTCAGGGATTCTGGAACTGTGAGTTCGAGAGGAGAGTGAGCCACGCTATCCCCAGAGATCCTTCCAGAAAGGACTTGGCAGGTGAGTGCCATTGCATGGAATGGACAGATTGGGGTCATACCTCATGATGATGATGACACTCGGCAATCTTTAGGAGTCATGGTTAGCTGAGAGAGTGAATATGCCCAGCGGAAAGCAATTCACAATTCCTAGGGGTTGCCACAATTCCTAGGGAGCATTTTGCCAGATCTTAGCAAGGAGGCAACCCTGGACAGAGGAAAAGTCACCTTTAGCACAGCAAAAAAGAAGGGACCAGACTGGCTAGGAGAAGGACAGTAAAATTCAGACAGCATTAAATGGGTGGTCACCTCCTCTCTCAAGAGATGAGGCCAGTCATAGAATGAGAGGAGCCAGCAGGTGCAAAACCATTGACTATTTCTGCCTAGGAATTGACAAGGAAATCTTCACTTCTTTAAGTTTTAGAATAGGAAAGAAAGCATAAGTGTCAGAGGCTTTGAACATTCTGGCTGATGCTCTGTGTACAAATGTAGACGAGAATCCAATCAGTTATTTGAACTGCTGGCACAATTCCTTGAATCAAAGGTCATTAAACCTTTAATTCTGCAACCTCATCAGAGTAAACATAATGGAATGCAAAGACAAACCTACACAACGTTCGAGATACTTTTCCTGGAGGCAGTGCCTATGGAAACATTAACTACAACAGCTATGATTTCTGAAACAATTGTGTTATGTTCTGTGTCCTAGGTACATAACATTGAGTATATATCAATCAAGATTCGATTAAGAAAAACCGATGCTACTCATATTGGTCAGCATTTGCTACAGTAACACACATCCCAAACATCTTTTGAGCTTTTAACCATACATATTTTTCTCCTGTGGGTCATCAGTGGTTGTGCTGAACTTAGCAACTCCATATGTATTATCACGTAGAACCCAGGTAGAAGACACAGCACCCATATGGGATATGCAGTTTTCATGCAGGAGACAGAAATACAAGAGTGTGGTCATTCTATTCACATATCATTAACCAGCACATATTCTATGAGCAAGCCAAAGGCAAAGAAAGGTGGAAAGGTGGTCCAGAATTTATATGAAAATGAGTGGGAACATACAATCCTACTATAAGAAGAGAGAAAATTGTTAGAACAGTAATCTAATCTACCTCTCACCACAAAGCACAAAGAGATTTATCATGTGGAATTGGATGTTCACAAAATTATCCAAGGTGCTAGGGAGTAGGATCTAGGTTGTAGACTTGTTCCAAATCCTGTTGTGCTTTTGTAGAATGGCATACCAGAAGACTTAAATAGATACTGAGTGCCAATTCGCTCATAACCACAACAGATTAATTCCTGGAAAGAACCCTGGAAGGTTGGATGAATTTCTCTAAGTAACTAATGAGAAGTAGAGCAATCTGTTCGAGGAGGACTTACCCATGTCTCCTTGTTCCTTCACAGGCCTCATCATGCATTGGTTGACAAAGCTTCGGGGACTTTGCACCCTCTGGGGCACCCAGAGGTCCAGCCGCACACTCTACCTTAATACCAGGCAACTGATATCCATTCAGTGGGGCCGCCAGGAAGTGCCTGCCACCTTTAACTTTGCTACTGATGTGGTGGATCGCTGGGCTGGCATGGAGAAGGTAATGGGTGGAGAAGAAGTGGCTGTTCATTCATTCATTCATTCATTCATTCATTTAATGAATGTCTATTGAGCACTTTTTTGTGTCAGGTTCTGTAATGAGCTATGAACAAAATGCTCATCTTCTGTGAAGGCAGAATAGGGTAGGAATGAGAATAAAAAATAGAGTCTCAGAGAGATATTTGTATACTCGCTTTCATAATAGTTTTATTCATAACAGCCAAAGATCAAAACAACCCAAATTCCATCACAAGGTTAAAAAGGTGAGCAAATGTGGTTTACTCATTCAATAGATCATTATTCAGTCTCAAAAAGGAAGGCGGTTGTGACCCATGCTACAACGTGGATGAACCCTCAAGACATTGCACTAAGTGAAGTAAGCCTGTCACAAATGGACAGTGTATGGTTCTGCTTACGTGAGACAGCTTCTGAGTCAAATTCATGAAAAGGAAAATAGAACAGTGATTACCAGGGGCGGAGGAAGAATGAGTGTTTAATGGGGACAGAGTTTCCAATATGGGTGATAGAAAGGTTTTCAAGGCAGATGGTGATTCAACAATGTGAGTTATTTAATATCATTGAACCGTATAGTCAAAAGTAGCTAACGTGGTAAATTCTGTGTTATACATATTTTATTGCAAGTTTTATAAAAGAGAATGGAATCAGTAAATAGATAGATAGATGGACACATAAATGATAGAAGAAAGGAAGGAAGGAGGGAGGGAGGAAGGGAGAGAGGGAATTCATTCATTCATTCATTCATTCCAAGAAGGCTCTTGACCTTTTCCTTCTCCTTCTCTCACAAGTATACAATGGTATTTTCCAGAATGTATATGTTGAGTGATAGCATACCAGAGTGAATGCAGAAGCAGATAAGTGAACCCAATTTGCGAAGATAAGAAATAATGCCACTCTCCTCATTAATTTTTTGTTTGAGAAAATATACATTCTTTTTAATTTAGAAATTCTGTTCATGGGAATGTATAACAGGTACATTATAGCTGCTTTTAAAAACTTAAATTTTGAAAATCATTGGTCTTGATTGCTAACATGGTAAATTTTAATTCAGGTAACCCAAATAAATACACTTTCCAAGAGTATATGGGGGTCTGAGATCAGAATCTTCCTAAGCACTGGCTTGGCAACCCCTGGGTTTTGGCTTTCCTCCTCCTGCTGGGCACCTGCACACCACGCTCAGCGGGACTTCTCTTCCTTCAGGCTGGCAAGCGGCCCCTCCACCCGGCCCTGTGGTGGGTGGATGGCAGCGGTGCTGAGGTGACGTGGAACTTCCAAGACCTGAGCAAGATCAGCCAGCAGGCAGCCAACGTGCTGTCAGGGACCTGCGGCCTGCAGCGTGGGGACCGTGTGGTGGTGGTGCTGCCCCGCGTCCCCGAGTGGTGGCTGGTGACCCTAGGCTGCATGCGAGCAGGTTGGTGGTTGATGAGCTGGGCTGGCCACTGTCTCCAGTGTGAAAGAAACTGAAGCAGGGAATTGTAGCCACCGCTCCCTTCCTGTGCAGATGTCACCCTCTTCGTTTTACTGAAGCAAATTCTGTACCAAGCACTCAAACAAGAGGTTGCGCCTAAACAAGCTAAACAAAACGAGACTTTGAGACCTTTGCAGAAACCTATTGATTGCACACATGATTGCTTACTCACAGATTTGTTAAGTGGCATGACAACTCTATAGGAAACCATTGTTTTTTTTAAGTTGGCACTCTAGTACCTGAAGGCCAAATATTGCCTAGAGCTTGGTTTTTGAAAGCAAAATTTTATTGCAACATAGCAAGGCCCATTTGCTTACCTTTTACCTGCAACCACTTTTGTACTATAATGGCAAACTTGAGTAGGTGTGAGAGTAATCCACAAAACCTACAATATTTACTATTTGGCCTTTTATAGAAAACAAGTTTGTCCATCCCTCCTGTAAAAGGAGATTGAATCAACTGATCTAAGAGTCCCAGATATCTCAGTGGAAGTGATGTTTGAGCTGAGATCTGGGAGATGAGTAGGACTGGCCAGGAGTGGGGGCAGAGAGGCCTGTGCCAAACCAGAGGAGCAGCACATGTGAAGACAAAGGGGAGGGAGCTTGGATATTACAAGAGAAAGCAGAAGGAAGTCCGTGTGCCTGAAGTGCGGGCAGCAAGGAGAAAGTGGCAAAAGAATGAGGCTGTAGGGGTGGACAGGTGCTAAACTGGCAGGGCCTTGTGGTCCGTGGTCAGAGTTCTGGATTCTTACTGAGCAAAGAATGAGAAGGCAAAGAAACAGATATGGGTGTGTTGGGAAAAGGTGACAGGTTCAATCTGGAAAATGTTTATACTTTTACTAATTATTAAGAGAGTGATAGCAAGCTCTAATCTGCTGGTTCACTCTCCAGATGCCTGCAATGGCTGGGGCTGGGCTAGGCTAAGCAGGGATTTAAGAGCTAGGAATTCAAGCCAGGTCTCCCATGTTGGTGGCAAGAACACAATCACTTGAGCCGTCACTACTGCCTCTGTCTGCGTTGGTGGGAAGTTGGAGTCAGGGCTAGGAATTGAACCGGGGTACTCCAGTGTGAGGTGTGGATATGTTGACTGCCAGACCAAACACCCGCTCCCAGCAATCTGGTAATGGTGATTCATGGGGCAACATGTGATACTCAAGAAGGGATAGAAAGTAAGAAGTTGCAGTTAAGGGTACAAAATCTGAGATGGAGACAGAAATCTGAGAATCATCAACCTTGACATAAGGGAATGAGAAGTGTCCTAAGAGGCATAGGAAAGAGACTGCAGCATCCTCATTCCAAAACTTCTGTTCTCAGCTCTCCTTGCATATTGCCCAGCTCCATCAAAAATTCCTCCCTGACTTCCCAGGCTGGGGACAGTAGGCTGAGAATTGAGACTAGGGTGTGGAGGAAGATGTGAATGTGGCCAGGATGTGGGAGCCACCAGAGGCAGTTGAGCTAACGGAAGGGACTTAGAGCCCTATGGAGAGAAAGATGACTGCTGAGAGCTCAAGGGCTGAGGGGAAGAAGAACTCAGAGATGTGTCTCATTCTGTGTGCCTGACACAACATGACCATTGTGATGGAAAGACAGCCGAGGATGTTTACTGGAGTGTAGCGTGGATACTGACATCAGGAGATCCAATTTTTTTCCTTTAGTCTCAATAGTGTCCCTTGTAGCTCTGACAACCCAGGGAGAGCTGAGTTCCAATCACAACCCACTACTCTGTCTTCTCCTTCTTGACACTCTCCATGGGTCCCCACTCTCATCTGCCTATTTGCTTCCCATGGTTGTTACTTTTCTAGGAAAGAAGCCAATGCCGCCTTCCTCTTCTCTCTCAATCTCTGGCTTCCCTAGGCCTTGTCTTCATGCCTGGGACTATCCAGATGAAATCTGCAGACATACTCCACAGACTGCAGGCGTCTGAAGCCAGGGCCATCGTGGCTGGGGAGGAAGTGGCCCATGAAGTGGATACCGTGGCACCTAACTGCCCTTCTCTGAGAATTAAGCTACTGGTGTCTGAGAAAAGCCGGAGTGGATGGCTTAACTTCAAGTCATTGCTACAGTGAGTACTCAAAAAGTGGAAACTGAAGCATGTATATATGTGCAGGTGTTTTATTTGGGAGGTCCAGGAAGCAGAGTATGAAACTAGCAGAGTAAAATAAGCAAGAAAAAAGATAATACAAAAGTTTATTATAGAGTTATTGCACAGGGTAAGTGGGTCTGTGGGGACCTTCTGAGGAGCTCATAGAAAGCCTCCTAGGGCTGTCCACTGAGATTGTCCACTGAGACAAGCATTGACCCATCAGCACCTGACCTCTGAAAAAGTCAAGAGCCTAATTAGGTGAATAAGTCTCCCTGTCACAGGTATGAAATCCCTTCTTGAGGGGCATATACCTTTGGAAACTCTTAAGGACACTGTAAGCTTTTCCTTTCTAATATCGTGGTGTGTAAGATAATCATCACAGAAATAAAGAACGTGACCCCAGCTTTGGGAGACTCAAAATCAGGACACTGGAAGAAATGTCCAAGAGGTTATGTGGGGGCTTGTGTAGAATAGAAGAGGTTGCCAAGAAAGTGCTGAATGTATACACTACCCGTCGTGCCACTGGCATCAAGCTGGGGCTCTCAACAATTAGATGACAGTTGTTGCTTTCTTGCTAAGCAAGTCCTTTGGGGTTGAGTTAACTTTCTGAATAACTCACTGAGAAGGATATTAATGATCCCATTTCACGTATATGGAAAGTGAGTCTCAAGTTAGATAACTAGTTCAGAGTTACACAGTCAACAAATTGCCACACCTGAGTAGTTTCCAAACCAAAGTCTGCCTGACTCAGAACCCCACAATGTTCATCACTTAATAGCCTCCCTTTTGAAGGGGTCATCTGACTGGCCCTCGTCAGCACGGAGGCCTGTGGGAAAGATGGGTCACTGTGACATCTGGCCTCCAGGATGGTTATGAGAAGGTGAAAGTCTTTGTCTCCATTAGAGAGGCGCCCACCACTCATCACTGTGTGGAAACTGGAAGCCAAGAGGCAGCTGCCATCTACTTCACCAGTGGAACCAGTGGCCTTCCCAAGATGGTGGAACATTCCCATGCGAGCCTGGGCATCAAGGCCAAGATGGATGCTGAGTAAGCCGAGCCCTTTCCCTCTAGGGAGAACTGTGTGATGGGACAGGAAGATGTGTAGGAGCTCAAATTGTGTTCTCTTTGGGTGGGCTATCATTGGTGCTCCTGAGAAAGACAACTGGAGAAGAAGCTGAGGGGGTGATGACTTCAAAGGCTGGGCAGCCAGTGACCTTCCGTGGGATGTTTCTGTTCCAAGTAACACAGGGTCATCCAGGTATCTTCCAGGCTTTGAGGCAGGTGCCTGCTGGGCGAATGACTGGAACAAGGTTTGTATGCATTTTCCCTAGACAAATCTTGATCTTGCCCTTTGTGCTGCTGGCAACTTTTCTTTGATGCCACCCACATTCCAAGAGGGCATGTTTGTTAACAGCAAATTCTCAAATTATTTTGGAATATCATTGAATGGGAAAGTATATTTAGATAGATGAACTAAGATATACCAGAATTTCTGGGTCATAAATGTCATAATTATGAATTTTATTCTGCCATATGAGCCCCAACTGGATAAAAAGAGAATACTGCTAAGGATATCATGACTTAATAATAACTGGGGATCTTTAAGATCTTTTTGAGTTGATCCTACATGCTATGTTAATTTTATTAGTAAATGGGGAAATAGTTTTAAATTTTTAGAATACATTTTAATTTTTATTTACTGAAAGGCAGAGAGAGACAGGTGGACAGAGATCTCCTATCCACTGATTCACTACCCAAATGTCTGCAACAACCTGGGCTGGGCAAAGCCAGGAGTCAGGAACTTAATTCAGATCTCCCATGTGGGTGGCAGAGACTCAACTACTTAACTCATTACCTGGTAGTTCCCAGGATGCACATTAGCAGGACGCTGGAGTCAGGAAAAAAGCTAGGATTCGAACTCAGGCTCTCTAATATGGGATGAAGGAATCCCAAGCAGTTTCTTAACTGCTGCACTAAAGACCATCTGGACCTGGACCAGGACCTGGAGAGGATTCACATAGATGCCTTCTGTTAGTAAACTTTCCCTTGCTGGTTACTGTATGACAGTCACTATTAAGTTTTGGGGATAAGATGAGGATGAGACCCAATTATCGCATCATCTGGGGTCACACTTTATGAATACCCACCCCCTGTTGATATAGGATGTGTGGATAGAACTTGACTTACCCCTGCATACTTACACTTATACATTCCTACAAATACTGATAGACATACATGTATGTCTGTACCCACACCTACCCCTCCCCCAGTCCCCAGGCTCTGTACAACCCTCACCTGCCTATCCATGATTTTGTCTGTTTCCTCAGAAATTGGACAGGCCTGCGAGCCTCTGACACAATATGGACCATATCAGACACAGGATGGATAGTGAACATCCTGGCCTCACTTCTGGAACCCTGGGCTCTAGGAGCATGTGTGTTTATCCATCTCCTGCCAAAGTTTGACCCTGTTGTCGTTCTAAAGGTAAGAGAGCATCCAGAGTGAGCCCAAGGTTTGCACACTCCCATTTATTTTATTCCAGTTCATCTGATTTTTTGCTAAATCCCAATCACATGAGTGGTCACTAAGTGAGATGCAAATGGTCCCTGACCTCACAGAGTTCATCGCTCAGGGAAAGAGACATATATTTAGAGGTAAAGTTTAAGAGTTTACTTAAGAGACAGATACTGTACATCAGATATTTTCTCAACACATATTTACCAGGTTCTTCCTCTGATGTTGGATATCAGATGATGGTGGACCACATGTACAAAGGAGGGAGGAGTATTGTGGTGATATCTTCTCCTTCCCATGTGTATGTGTGCATACATCGTATTTCCTTTCTTGTTTGCTGTGCAACACACAACCTAGAAGAACGTGCAGTAAGCGCCTTCCTCCTAAGCATACAGCTTGGAAATAATTTGCTGATGTTTGATGCTCTTAGTCACTTTGGGCTGCTACAATAAAATATCACAGACCAAGTAGCTTACCCAACAGACATCTAATTCTCACAGCTTTGGGGGCTGGAAGTCAAAGAACAAAGTGCCAGCACTATAGGTTCTTGGTCAGGGCCCTTTTCCTGGCTCACATGTGGCCAGCCACCTTCCCAGTATGTCCTCATACTAGGGAGGATGTGAGTGTCTATTCTTCTTCATAGAAGGACACTGGTGCCATCACTGGTGCACCTCCATCTCATCACCTGGTTTAATGACCTCCCCAAACTCCACCTCCAACAGAAGGACTTCAACATAAGAATCTGGGGTGGGGACACAGCGTCAGTTTCTACAAGATACCCATGCTACCACCACCAGATGGAGACAGGAAACATTTCCATGATGGTGGAGGATGCTTACATCCCTTCCTTGACAGTGTCCACACCCCATAAGCTAACTGTTGATTGGACTTCTAGCACCATAGGTTAATTTTGCCTCTTCTTGCTCTTTGAATGGAACCTTACAACATGTGATCTTTGGTGTGTGGCTTCTTCCCCTCCACATATGCACTGTGAGATTAGTACACATTGTTGCACGTGTCAGAAGTTTGTTCCTTTATATTATTGCATAATATTCTATTCTGACTTCTTTTCCTATTCTGTTGATGAACATTTGGGTTATTTCCAGTTTGGGGCTATTTCCCAGAAGGAATTCTGAAGAAGAAGTAGAATTTCTTTTTATACTAAAACTGATGGCTGGGTCACTGAGTAAAATTCACAAACTGCAGCAATATGTCACCAGAATAACAAAGCAAGGAAAATGGCCTCATTTTGCTTGCAAAGACATGGTAATGTTGGGTTCTAATTACAACGGGTGGGTAAGGCCATTGTCTTCCCAGGCCTCCAACCTCTGTTGTGGTTGGTGTTCCACTCAGACTTCTGTTTGACAGCAACAGCAACACACACCTGCAACCTGGGGCAAAGGAAGGCATGAACGCCAGCTTCAAACACCAAGAGTCAGGCATGTCGTTCTCTGTGTTAGATACATTCCTACTCTGCCTCCTTCCAAACGGGATTTGAGCTGGGTTTCGTCAAGTCCCACAAATAAACACAACACAAAAACATGCAAAATTCTAAAGTCCATTTGGAAAATATAGGTTGGAGATGTGAGGAGAAAAAGAGACTAGGGGAGACCGAGGAGAAGTTTAGTGAATCAGTAGGCAATTGCAAGATGACCTTCCTATAAGGCAAGGCAATAAAGAATAAGGGATGACTTGCAAAGCTTTTGTCAGTACCTCAAGTGCACTCAGAGAAAATGGTTACATGCTGCCCTCATGTTAATCATTTTTATAGACATTTGACTTCAGCCCCACTGTTGAGCTCTGCACTAGGTGAATCTGCACTAGGAGAGGAGGTGGTTGTACAAAACAGTCTGAGTGCAGTCTGTGAAGCCGGTTCTGCTGCTCACTGCTATGTAACTTTGCACAAGTTCTCTGCCTCTCTGGATGGTAGTTTCCCCTTCTACAAGTGCAGGTAATTGTACATACTGCATGAGATTAGGATGAGATTTAGATGAGAAAGCACAGGGGAAGGCAACTAACTATTCAGTACCAGGTCTTTTTGTAGCACTTATTTTGAAATGTCTACAAGTGCTTTTAACTTTTCCTTTTTTAATTAGAGATTTATTTATTTGAAAGGCAGAGTGACAGGGAGAGAGAGAGAGATCTTGCATCTGCTGGTCACTCCCCAAATGACCACCACAGCTAGTGCTGGGCCAGGTTAAAAGCCAGTAGCCTGGAACTCTATCTGGGTCTCCCACAAGCACTTGGGCCATCCTCCACTGCCCTCCCAGGTGCATTATCAGGGAACTGAATCATAAGTGGAACAGCTGGGATTCGAACTAGTGCTCATAATGAGGTGTCGCCATTTCAGGCGGAAGCTTAACTCTTTTAACTTTTCAAAGCACTTTTTTTTTTTATCTGAACTATCTCCCAAAAGTATTTTTATGACAATAGGACTGGAAAAAATATTTTATAAAGCTGGTTCTAGAAAGTCAAGGGACTTAACCAGGATCACATAGCTGATTGGCAACAGTGGTTGATCTCCTTGCCTTGAGAACTTGGGGTTCATACACACCTAGGGGTGTGTTGATGAGAGCAAGTCACTTTTGGCAGTAAATGACAGCCAAGATTTGACTACAATGTTCTAAATTAACCCTAGGTAGACATTTTTCTATCTATCATGGTAGACATTAATTTTTTTATTTAATACATGTAAATTTACAAAGTGCAACTTTTGTATTGTTGTGGCTTTTCCCCCCATAACCTCCCTCCTACCCACAGCCATCTCATCTCCCACTCCCTCTCCTATCCCACTCTTCATCAAGATTCATTTTCAATTATCTTTATATACAGAAGATCAACTTAGTATATACTAAGCAAAGATTTCAACAGACTGCACCCACACAACTGCACAAGATATAGAGAACTGTTCGATTAGTAGTTAATTTTTATGTTGTTTGTGTTTTGAGGATGCAAAAAAGCTATGGGGCTCTTTTAGCCTGAAACAGAGTGGACAAGCTAGGATTTCAGCCCAGACTTGAGTAACTCCTAGCCCATGGCTGAAGCCTCTGTGCCTACTGGTGAGCTTGCCGGCTGACCTGGTGACCTGTGACTCAGGGACTCTCTCCTCCAGGTGCTGTCCAGCTACCCGATCAACAGCCTGGTGGGTGCCCCACTCATTTACCGGATGTTGCTACAACAGGACCTCGCGAGGTGATGCGGCTTGGGGTGCTGGTAGGATCCTCCATGCCCATCCCCTACCTCCCTCCTGTGTATGAGCATGTACCTACTTAGCCCTCTGGGCACGCTGAGCTCCGTGACGCCTGCCCCACCACCCAAGCACTCGGAACCCAGCTCCGGGTGTGGGTGGACAGGGGCTCTGAGGAAGCTGAGGGAGAACACAGATCTCTCTCCTTCAGTTACAAGTTCCCACACCTAAAGAACTGCTTCACCGGCGGAGAGAGCCTTCTGCCAGACACCCTGGGGAGCTGGAGGGCCCAGACAGGATTGGACATCCGAGAATTCTATGGCCAGACAGAAACGGTACCTGCTGTGAGGGCGTCGAAAGTCCCTTTGATGATTAAACTCTCAGCCACTATTTCTCATTCACTTAGTTGATAAATGTGAGGGTAATTTTTAAGATTTAATTAATTAATCAAAAGGCAGAGTTAAAGAAAGAGGGAGAGACATGAAAAGAGAGGTCTTACATCCACCGATTCTCTCCCCAAATGGCTGCAATGGCTGGGGCTGGACTAGGCTGATGCCAGGAGCCCTACAGTTCCATCTGGGTCTCCCACATGGGAGGCAGGGGTTCAAGCATTTTGGCTGTCTTCTGCTGCTTTCCCAGGCACATTAGCAGGGAGCTGGGTCAGAGGGCTGGGGACAGTGCTGTGATGTGCATGTGGCCAGGCAGGGCTTTGCAAGTCTGGGTGAGGACTGTGCAGTTGAGGTGGCTGGAAGGGCTGCCAGCCACTCTGAGGGGACACGTGCAGATAGCAGAATCTCTGCAAGGAGAGTTCTTTTCAGAATTCATGTACAACTGGCCCTACCATGAGAAGTAATTGAAGACGTTTCTCTTGGGCCTCACACACTTCAGATTAGTAATTTCCCCTGAGTTTTTAAAATTTTTAAATTCACACTGAATAATTGTACGGATTTAGGGAGTTGCAAGTGTGATATTTCAATACAGGGACTCCATGTGTAATGACTGGATGAGGGTAATTGGGGCAGATGTTTCTCCTAGCAGGTGAGTCACTGGCTAAGGCACCTCCGGTCCCACATCAGAGGACCTGGGCTCAATACCTGGCTCTGGTATTAGCTTCCTGCTAATGTGAACCCTGCAGGTGGTGGCTCAAAGGACTGGGTTCCTGCCACCCATGTGGGAGTCCTGCATTGAGCGCCTGGCTCCCAGGTTGCTCCAGCCCAGCTCAGGCCATTACTAGCATTTGGGGAGTGAGTGAATCAGTGGATGAGCTTATCTCAAACATTTATCACTTCATTGTTTTGGGACCATTCAAAATCCTTTCTTCTTGCCATTTTTAAATATTTAGTAAATTGGGGCTGACTGTAGTCTCCCTGCTGTGCTATGTAGAACACCAGAACTTAGTCCTCCTGCCCAGCTGTATTTCTGTCATGCAGTTGTCAGTTCCTCTGCCCTGGGAACTAACTGGGGAGCAGTCACCCAGCCAGGTTGCCTTCTGAACAACCTAGTGAAGGCCCTAGGGTTGGTGTTCCAGGAAAGGGGAGCCCACCAGGTGCTGTGAGGTGGGAAGGGGAGGGAGGGAGCCTACAGATGTGAGCCCCCTGCAGGACAGTGCCAGGAACTGCCCCACTGAGTCTATTCTATGCTGCTCCCACAGGGCCTCACGTGCAGAGTTTCCAGCACAATGAAAATCAAACCTGGCTACTTGGGAACAGCCAGTCCTCCTTATGATGTGCAGGTTTGCTGGGGGAACAATGTGGAAGCCACCAATGTTTTAGAATTCATTTACTGCATTGTTCACTGAGTTAAAATAAGAGCAAGTAAATAAAGTAATATTTTTAAAAGGAAGGAGGGGAGGAAAAGAAGAGAAAGGAAGGGAGGAAGAGGGGAGGGAAGTGGGACAGGAAGAAAGGAAAGGGGGGAAATAACTTATATTCTTATTATCCAGAGAGAGCCACTGTGAATATATAGCTAGCTATATAATCAGTCATACATATGCTGAAAAATTAGGAGTGAATTTGGACATTGCATGTTGTTACTTGCTTTTATCATGAACAGTCCTGAGGAATCATCTTTCCGGGTCAGTTAATACAGATCAGCAGCATGGTTTTTGTTGGCTAAATAATAGTAGACTGTGCTTGTCACAGCAGCACATATACTAAAATTGGGATAATAGTAGATTTTCCACCCCCCCCCCCCCACTATACTGTCTATTGCCCCAATGATGACATCCACATTTTCACTACTAAACACAACACAACAATAATCAGTATGGTTTTTTTTTAGATTTATATATTTATTTGAAAGAGTTACAGAGAGAGGAGAGGCAGAGAGCGAGAGAGAGGTCTCCTATCTGATGGTTCACTCCCCAATTGGCCGCAACGGCCAGAGCTATGCCAATCTGAAGCCAGGAGCCAGGAACTTCCTCTGGGTCTCCCACACAGCTGCAGGGGCCCAAGGACTTGGGCCATCCTCTACTGCTATCCCAGGCCATAGCAGAGAGCTGGGTTGGAAGAGGATCAGCCAGAGTAGAATCGGTGCCCGTATGGGATGCCGGTGCTTCAGGCTAGGGCGTTAACCTGCTGCGCCACAACTCCAGCCCCAACAATGAGTATGTTGTAGCTAAAGTTTTGTTATCTGTTGATTCTATAGGCTGAAGAAACTAGAATGTATGGCTGTGTGTGTGTGTGTGTGTGTGTGTATGTACAGCTCCATGTATCTAAAATTTAATGACTTTACACTAGCATTATATGTAGTTACCTACCACCCTGATCATAGTGATAACTATTCACTGAGAAGCTTTTGTCGGATCTTATTTCATTTGTATAAAAATCCTGCAAAATTAGCTGTCAGTATTTGTTTTACAGAACCAAGTACTGAGGCTTAGAGCTTAAGTAGCTCAGTCAACATGTAAGGTATCAGAACCATAATCTGGGTTTCGATCCATCTGGTTTCCAAGTCCATGGGTGAGGTGGATCTCAAAGACAATGGGAGACTCATGTTTTTCCTGAGCTCCTACAACCAGAAACTCACCGAGTCCAGTCTCAACAAGAAGCCTCACCAAAATGATCCCAAGCTAGCAGGTTAGAGATTTGAGTTTAAAACTCTGGGCTCCCCTTGGTTTCTGATTCTTGTTTCCAGTCTCCTCCAGAGCAAGAGGGTCTTCTCTTTGACCAGCTCAGCTCTCTCATGCTGCCATTCAAGCCTTCTCCTATTGCACGGATCACTCTTCCTATCTGCTTCTTCCTCCAGGTTGTAGATGATGAAGGCAACGTTCTGCCCCCTGGCCAAGAAGGAGACATAGGCATCAGAGTCAACCCCATCAAGCCCATAGGCATCTTCTCTGGCTATGTGGTAAGGAACCCGTGCTCCCTCTCTCCTCTGCTCCCCAGTGGGGTTTGGGGACACTAATTGGGAAGAGAGAAGCTCAAGGTTATAAACTTTCCAAGAGATATCTAAGGTTTAAGGACAGAGAATCCAGTGCCCAAGAGTGGGTGCCTTTCCAAGGGAGAAGACTGGAAAGTCTCCTTTGCCATCCTTATCCTACTGCTGTGACCGCACTTGGAGACTTGCTTTCTCAAATTATCCCCTGCACACAATGAGCCTTCTGTTTCATGCCAGAAATCTTATTTCCCCTGAACTATAGAGAGTAGCCTTTGCCCAGGGCAGCCTTGTCCTCTCCCCAAAGGATGGTCCCCATGCTCTTAACCACTGATCTCTTTAGGACCATGATAGGAACTTTACATGGAGATGTCACCATACAGTTGGATGCATCATTATCTTCACACCTGGAGAAGATAGAAACAGACCATCCCTCAGTCCATCTAGCTCCCTTAACAGGTGAGGATGGCTGCACCATCCTCACTCAAACCCACAACTGTGGAGAAATGGGCAGCGACAATGCCAAGCACATGCCTTCTGATCTCCGTGACAGTTGATCAATTATTTAAGTGATAAATCCAATACTAGGGCTATTTCCATTTATTGAAGGCACTCTGCAAGGTGAGCACTGTCCTGACGCTCCCCACATATATTAAACACGTCAGTCCTCCCAGCCACCCTAGGAAGTCTTTGGTGACATCTTGCTTGATTTCAAAACACTGCTTCCAAACTTAGTGTTTGTCTTGCAAGTTATTGATCTCTGAATGCCTCAGTTTGCTCATCTGTACGCTGTGTAGCATTGTTAAGGGTTTGTAAAGTTACTGATATTTATGAAACACATAGAATTGTGCCACATAAAAGTGTGTTAAGTGAGAGAATTGTTGTAGATCTAAATTATCATTCCCATTATGCAAATGAGGAAAACTGGGAGGAACACTGTGCCCTCCTCCAAGCATGTCCTATGCATTGTCCCATTCTACTTTCATACATCAGTGAGGTATCTAAGGCATGGGATTCTCCCCATGTGACAGACAAGGAAACAGACGGAGCAGTCAAAGCTAATGGTCAAGATATCTGGCTTATGGCCTCAGCTCTACCATTTGTAGTGGCTGTGTGGCCCAGAAAAGCCTCCTGTTCTCTCTGATTTTCAACGCCCTTCAACCTCACTGAAGGACTTGGGCTCAAAATGTCCTGGGCCATCTTCCAGCCCAGTAACTGAACATCCAGCTGGAGCCCACATCCCTGTACCTGAGTAATGTGTAAATATGCACTGGCCTGGGATGAACCTCAAGCCTTTTCGCTATTTATAAGCAAGGGCCAATGCTGAGTAAAAGCCTCCCCCCCACCCCCCGTAGAAATAAACACACTGGATGGGGGCGCTAGGGCTTGCTGGGATGGCTTTAGAACTTCTAAACCTGGTAAGGGAGCCATGAGAAGTGTGTGATAGATCTGATATCTTTGAGTTGTGTCATAGTGTGAGAAGTGCTGAGGCTGTCCCTGGAAGGAAAAGTGGAGTCAATAGGAGAAGATGCCCAAAGCATAGATGAATCAATGATATCCATCAGACTGCACTCAGGGGTATAGGTGAGAGGCCTGGGTAGAATAACTGAACCAAAGAAGAACCTTTTATATACAGGTATCCTGGTATCCAGGATCAGAAGGTTCAGGGCAGATCCACCATGTACAGTTGTTCAAATTGTGGCCTGCACACCCTGCACATCTGTTCATGGCAGCCCTGGGGCTAGGCATCTAGGCTTTTCAGGTGCAATGACTCTGCTTTCTGTGAAAACCAGGGCAGTCCCAAGAAGACAGCAGCCAACATTCGAGGTGATTTCTGGATCCTGGGAGACCGGGGAATCATGGATCCAGATGGGTATTTCCACTTCATGGGGCGAACAGATGATATCATTAACTCCAGTGGGTGAGCTTGGTGTGGGGCCTGGGAAGGGTCCATTGGGTCTTTTCTCTGGCTGATTTTGGGGATGACCTACAGGCTGAGTGTCCAGTCTTCTCTGAAGGTCAGGCTCTTCTGTAGGTACCGGATTGGACCCTCGGAGGTGGAGAACGCACTGATGGAGCACCCCGCTGTGGTGGAGACAGCTGTGGTCAGCAGCCCAGACCCCGTCCGAGGAGAGGTGATAAGAAACTGGGAGGGTACAGACCTGAAAGACACGGGTGGTGTGGTATGGTGGTTAGGAATATGGGCTTGGGCACTGGACAGCCTGCTTCTAGCTCTGGACCCTGCACTTACCAGCTGTCTGACTTTGCACTGCTTGTTTAGTTTCCCTTTCCTCATCCTGTAAGATGAGGGGCAGTTGTGAGGACTAAATGTATCTGGAAAAAGGCCTAGGGTGTGGTAATTGCCACTGATAGGCTATTATTATGGAACCAGAGGTATTCCATTCTACTGTCGTATTTTTGTCAGAATCTGATTCCTGACCAAGAAAATAGAGAGGAATTTGAACCAAGGAATACAACCCCAAGCCACAAAGTTTGCAGTGACAATTAGGACAAAGAAGAAATGACTCTATAATGCTGAGGTTATGGGAACAGGCTCAGGTGGAGTCTAATGGAGTTCAGTGTACGCGCAGGCAATGGTTAAGGTGTGAAGAGTGGAGCAGTGTTCTAGGATATTTCTTCAGGGTGCAATGTCCTGGGTGCAAGCATCACAGCTCTAGCAGAGACAGGACACACCACATGGGGAAGCCATGAAGCCACTGAACAAGTGACACAGAATACTTTGTGTGGCTAGCTCTGAGCTAAGTCCCACTGTTTGAGTTCATTTTATTTCCCATGACAATGTTATCCCCATTTTCCAGATGAGTGAGCTGACATTAAAGAAATCACTTGGGGTTATGATCACTTGTCTGTATTTTCCTCTCTTCTCTCCTTGTACCTGTTTCCTCCCCTATTGGTCTCCATTGTCCTTGGTGTAGGAGGTAAGCTGGACTTGAGTCTGTTGTCCTGCTACTCATCCAGTAAGCCACTAGAGATAGAGCTGGAAATGTGGTCGTCTTACCTTCAGTGTTTCCCTTACCCTTGGCCTGAATACCTGGAGGTACACTTGAGGGAATGTAGAGTTGTGGGCTGTGATTTGCATCATTCCAGAACATGCCTCTATCCTCCAATCCATTCTTGACTCTCTTCACTCAATCTCACTGTAGGTGGTGAAGGCATTTGTGGTCTTGGCCCCACAGTTCCGGTCGCATGACCACAACCAGCTCACCAAGGAGCTGCAGGAGCATGTGAAGTCAGTGACAGCCCCATACAAGTACCCCCGGAAGGTAAGGCCCTCGGGCTCCCACATCCTCTGAACATGGGGAGAAAGGAGGGTTCTCCTGCTATCTCTGCCTAAGGATGAGTATGAGACTTCTAATTCCAGGATTCTTCCAACCATGACCAAGAGAGCCCCAAAAGATGATCCTGAAGCTGTCTTGATACCTGAAAAGTGATCTCAGTCTTTGACTTACTCTGAATTAAGTCAAATACTCCAGTGGGAATAAGTTCTAGTCAATCCCTGATTCTATATTTTTCCCCCTCCTAGCACGGGGTTCTTGCTGGAAAATCCAGGACTATGCAACTCTAAGTTACAAGTGAAAGAAATGTCTTCCTTTGTTGTTCTAGCAGCTTCAGACATACATATTTAGAGGTCTAGCACATTTCAGTAGCAAAGTGCATGTTTTCCTCAAAGACCCCAGCAAAAGTTTTCGGTTTGCTCCTCACTGGACCAATATAAGCCATGTGCTCATCATTAAACTAATCTGCATGACCAGGAGAATGGAACATGCTGAGGGCCAGCTCTCAGGCATCTGTAACCCTTGGAGAAAGTGTGGGAAAGATGGAAGAGAGAGGGCTGTCCTACATCCATGGCATGGCCTGAGGAGGGGTGGCACCCCAGAGCAAAGCCAAAACACTCTGACCAGAAAGGAAGCACAGAATCCACTCTGCCTCTGTTAAGCCATCTCCACTCACTAGAGGATTAAGGCATAGAGGTTGACATAGCTGGAGAACTCCTTGGCTAGCTTTGGGTACAAGACAGGAGCTTGCCCCTGGGAAAGGAAAAAGCAGTTTTGAGTCTGGAGCAAGAGGTTAACTTCGAGCCCACTTGGCCTTTTCTCCAGCACAGGCTGGTGATCTTAGGTGGTTTCCTAAGAAGCACACCCCAGAGAAGGAGATTCATGAAAAGTGAATTAGAGACTGACTGAAGATCATCACCTCTGGAAAGGAAGGGGGGAAGGGGAAAGGGAAGAGAGGGAAGGAAGGAGAAGGGAAGGGAAGGGAGAGGGAGGGAGGGTCTTGTTATGAATTTTGAATTGTAACTGGATATTTTGGAAAATCATGTGGAGGGGTCCAAGCTTCCCCAGTAGATGTGTCTGTTTCCACAATCTTGTCCCTAAAATCCCAAAGGCAGCAGGCTCCTTCCACTTCTCCCCTGCCTCCAGTAACCATGTCCAGCCTCTTCTCCCTTCTTCATGATGAGCAGAGTCCCTACCTTCTTAGCATTAAACCTAGGTCTCCTCTGTAGCTTCTTCCTACCTGTCTCCACCCCACCAGAGACCACATGGTAAATATTTTAGGCCATAAAGTCTTTGGTGCAACTACTCAACTTTACCTTTGTGAGCCAAAAGCAACCAAAATTGATACCACAGCCACCCCTCCCCCATTATCTGCGGGAGATATACTCCAAGCTCCCCAGCAGATGCCTGAAACCTCAGCTGGCACTGATTCCCCACATACGCAGCCATGCATCATAGGATGCATGCTGAGAACAGTGTTGTTAGGCAGTTTTGTCATTGTGCCTACCTCAGAGTGAACTTACCTAAACCTAAGTGGTTACATGGTGTAGGTCATTTACTTGACATGATCTCCTGGGACAATGAAGAGCTGCAGTAAACACAAAATGTGTGGTTGGTAGAGGAGGGCCTGGCAGCCAGAGGGCCCAATGTCTAAGCCCAGCATCTGAATGTGGTCCCATGCTGCATGCATCATGCTGCCCTCTGAGTGTACCAGAGACCAGTGCCCCTGACCTTTATGTCCACTCTAACACTTCTCTTCTTGTCCTTGCCCTTGGATGCTTTCTGAAGCTTCTTATAGCACAGGGGGCTTCCTTGGAAATTTTCCAGGCACCATTCCCACTCACCTGGGGCCTCAAGAACTTTCCCTTACCTACAGCATAGCCCACCATACACTGATTTCTCTTTACAGATAGAGTTTGTCTTGGACCTGCCCAAAAACATTACAGGGAAAATTCAGCGGACGAAGCTTCGAGAAAAGGAGTGGAAGACATCTGGGCAAGCCCGGGCCTCTTGAGACTTCCAGGAGGCTCCACTTCAGATTCTCTTATTCTTCCTTTTCTTCCTTTTTTTTCCTTTCAGTCCTCAGGCTTCCTATGAGGACACAAAATTCTTCATGCAAGGGCATGTGTGTGATTTTTGTTTTCCTTTGGTTATTAGTACAAAACATTGCCCTGATAGATGCTGAAAGAAGAAAGAGAGGAAATGAAACGGAGAAGAGATGAGAGTAACAGAAAAAGGAAAGGAAAATAAGTCAGAGAAAGATTGAACCAGTGAGGAAAAGCACATAAAGTAGGGAGGGAGGAAGAAAGGAAAAGTGGAGTGAAAAGGAGAAAACATAGACGAGAAAGAATTGGAGGGATGATTGGCAAAAGAAAGACAGAGATCCAGATAGACAAAGTGAGAGAGAGCCAAGCATATGACTGGAGGTTAGGAAAGAAATGAGAGGCCATGGCACCCTATTTCGCCTGGGACAGGACTTCCAAACAGAGCGGTTTGTGAAAGGGTTGATTTAGCGTCATCTCCAAGTCACCCAAACCTTGGGTTTTCATGATCAGAGGAAGGGAGCCATCACTGATGGAGCATTTGCCATGTACCTGGCACCGTCCTAGATCTCATGTTCCACCAGTGGGCAGCATCTGCAGATCTACAGACCTCATTCAGAACTGTGAAGACAATGGAGGCACCTCCAAAGGTGTCAGTTTCCTGGGGCTCATGTTTTTGGTGCTATCTGCTCTTTTTAAAATCAAGTAATAAAATCAGTTTATAATCCAGACTACAAAGCTGGTCTTTGGGGAAAACATAGTCAAGGAGGATAAGGTGAGTGGGTGCCTCCAACATCTTGTGGGTTGGGGAGCTCACAGAAACAGCCTGGGCAGGTGGTGCTGGCAAGGAATAAACAGGCTCAGTTCCTGGTGCTTCTGGGACACCAGATCCACGACAAGGGGGCAGATACAGATGCCGGAGGCTTCACCCAGAGATGAGATGAAGGGTGAAGCTTCCCAGAAGACTTAAGTGAGCAAAAGAAGGGAAACGTTGTCTGAGTGCCTAGGACTCTTCTTCTTAAGAGTACTTAGTAAACAACAACAGTAATAATAACTCAATCACTCATACTTTCCAAGAGTCAGGTTCTGCATTCTTTTGTTGTCTTCTGTAACAAAATACCTGAGGCTGGGTGCTTTATAAAGGAAAGAGGTTTGTTAAACTCAGTTTTGGAAGCTGAACATCCCAAAGATTGGGTGATTGCATCTCTTGGCCTCTGGAGAAGGTCTCCTTGACTGCCTCACAAATAGCAGAGGGGGAGAAGGAGAACAGCCAGGGGCCAAGTCGGGGGGCGGCCTTGCTTTCTAACAACCCACTGTCCAGAGAACTCACTCGTCCACAAGACCAGCAGTGATGCCTTCCGAGGATGATGCTGTCAATCCTCCCACCAAGCCCTAACTTAAGGGTTCCACATCACCACACTGGGACTACACCTCCAGCACAGGAACTTTTGGGGTACAGATCGCAGACAGACTTTAACATTCTGTCCTAGGCCCCTCAGGGTCATATTTCTCTCACAATGCAAAATATAATCATTCCATCCTCAGTAGTCCCCAAATTTGAACACATTGAAGAGCCGAAGTCAAACTCAAGACAAACACTTCCATGCTCTGCACTGCAAAATCAAAGACAAATTATGAACTTGCAAGGTACAATGGTAGGGAAGGAGTGGTATAAACTTCCCATCCTGAAAGGAACATAGAGAATTAGAAGTAACTGGTCCACATCAAGACCAAAACCCAACAGGACAAACTTTAATCTTAGAGCTAAAGTCTGACATTTGTGTACCCTGTGGGGAGGAATGTTCCCCCAAGGCCTTGGGCTGCCCAGCCATGTGGCTGTTCTCATGAGCTTCTGGAGGATGTCTATGGTTTTCCCAGGCTGACATGGCATGCTGCTCGTCACTCTACCTTGCTGGAGTCTTGGCTGCAACTCCATTCCCATGGCTCCACTCTCAAAGCTCCACCAGGCATCTGGAGAGACTGCAGTAACTGCATTGTTGAAAATTTCTGCCTGGATTTCCTTCGAAATATCAATGGGAAATGGCCGTGACTCCCACAGCTTTTGCATTCCATGTGCTTACAGAGCTAGCACCTCACAGACACTGTCAAGTTCTGCTACTGCCACGACCCTGCCTGGGTCTACCTGCACCATGCCTGAGGCAGCTTCATGAGCACTTGGCTAGGAAATAGAAGAGTTCAGACTGGAGAAATATCTTTTCTACTAATAGTATATTCAGTAGCATAAGGGTGAAAATGTTTTCTAATGTCTGGGAGAAGACTCAGACTACAAACTGTACAGAGAAGTAATGATTGACAAGCTCTGATGACCCAGCGTGGTATGAATTCTCTGGTCAATCATTAGCTCTAGAGGATTCCCTAGACTCAAACCAGGAATGTGCCCTTGTGTGTGTGTCGATAATGCGAATTCTCCCAGACTTCCTATTATCTGAAGGTAAAGCAGGGGACTTATCTGCTCCATTTACAATTCAGCTCCCTGCTAATGTGCCTAGGAAAGCAGCAGCAGATGGCCTAAGTGCTTGAGCCCCTGCCACCCATATGGGAAACCTAGATGGAGTTCCAGGCTCCTGGCTTTGACCTGGCCTAGCCCTGGTCCATTGCAGCCAACTGGAAAGTGAATCAGCAGATGGAAGATCTCTCTCCGTTTCTCCCTCCCTCTGTTTGTAACTCTGCCTTTCAAATAAAAAAAGAAGAAAAGGACTAGAAGAGGAGGTGGTCACAGTACCACATGGCAGTTTAACTTATCTAGAGAATGGCAGGTCATTGAAGTGTTTAAAGGAAAGCAATGAACTCAGCTATGCATTTTTAAGTGATGATCCTGAAAGCTGAATGGTGAATGTTATTAAAGAAGTTAAGAAGAATCCTTTCTTCTTAGGATTTGGTGAGTTGATGCCTAAATAAGGGAGTTGAGGAGTGGGTGTTTGACCTAGCAGTTAAAATGCTGATTAAGACACTTGGTTCCGCGCCAGGGTGGGCTCAAGGCCTTGGCTTCCTGCCTCTTATGAGAGAGACTTGAATTGGGTTCCTTGATCCTAACTTCAGCATGGTCTAGCTTTACTGTTGCAGACATTTGGGGAGTAAACTTGCAGATGGGAGATCTCTCTGTGTCTCTTTGTTTTTGGCTATCTCTCTGCCTTTCAAATAAAATTTTTAAAAAAGAAAGCTTCTGTGTGCACTTTTGTGTCTTCAGCAAACACATGCACTTCACCTCCCAAACGGAGATCACCATTCTCTGCAGTATGTATGGTGAGCTTGGCCTTGAAGCTTGCTTTGGCCAAAAGAATGTAAGTAGGTATTTTTAAATGTGCTTACCTCATCTGAATTCATTTGTTGACATCTGCCATCCTCAGAAGGGTCTGCCCTAGGAGAGGCACTGGTGTCAGATGCTCACACCCCATATCGGAATGCTGAATTCCAGTCCCAGCTACTGTGCTTCTGAGCCAGCTTCCTGCTAACATGCACCCTAGGTGGCAGCAGCGGCCTAATTCTTAGGTCTCTACCACCCACCCAGGAGATCTAGATTGAGCACCAGCCTCCTGGCTTCCTCCTGTCCCAGCTCTGGTTTTTAAGTATTTGGGGAGTAACCAGGGGATGAAAGATCTTTCCGTGTCTGTTTGTCTCTCTCTTTCTCTCTGCCTTTCAAATAAAAATGAAAATAGAAATTTTTAAAAAGAAAGCAAAGACCCAGCAATGGTACCAGTGCCATATTCTAAAAAACATTGTTTTATCATTTTAATTTTTTAAAGATTTATTTATTTGAAAGTCAAAGTTACACAGAGAGGAGAGAGAGGTCTTCCATCTGATGATTCACTTCCCAGTTGGCTGCAATGGCTGGAACTATGCCAGTCCAAAGCCAGGAGCCAGGAGCTTCTTCCAGGTCTTCCACACAGGTGCAGGGACCCAAGGACTTGGTCCATCTTCTACTGCTTTCCGAGAGCTGGATGGGAAGTGGAGCAGCCAGGTCTCAAACTGGCACCCATATGGGATGCCAGCGCTTCAGGCCAGGGCATTAACCTACGCCACAACGCCAACCCCAATCATTTTAATTTTATTTACCTCTGCAAAGAGATAATACCAAAGAATGTTCTAGAAGCCATCAATGTGTGTGTGTGTCTGTGTGTGTGTGTGTGTGTAAATAAAAAATAATCTTCCCCCATCGTCCTCATAGTCCTTCCCTCCAGACGTGAGCAATGCTGGCTTTTTGTGAATCTTCTGGAGACATCTTGGGGAGAATGTGGAGGGGTGGTAGAGAGTTTAGCTTATCCTCTCCTTCCTTTCTCAAGTGAGCTGTGATGAGCACCTATTGCTTTACCCCGCCCCCCCACCCCACCCCAAGACTTCCCTGCAAGAGAAATCTCAACTGTCTCTTGGGTCCTTTCTTCTCCCCAGCAGCCTGGGTGGAACAAGCACCCTCAACCATGTGCTTCTGACCTGCACACTTGGTCAGCATTTCAGCCAACATTACCCTAGGAGCTGGGAGCTGCCTGGTGTTCAGGGGCTGATCCTCCTGCTTGGGTGTGGTCACCTTGGAAGGGCAGAGGCCCTGGGACGTGCACCTCCCAAGGACTGGCTCAGGGCTCCTGGAACACAGAATGGGGTGCTGAAAGGCCTGAATGGCAAGCTGGCTCTGTGTGTAGCTCCTAGGCTGAGTTAGGAGTAGGGAGAGTAAACCATGAAGGTGGATCCCAGCCTGAACACCCTCAGAATTCCCTGAAAATGAAACCCCAGGTTTCCTGAATTCCCTGTCAAAGTAGAGCTGCTTGTTTGCATTGGATTAACTGACTTCCAGGTTCTCCATTTCCTTCAGGGGAAGGCACCAGCCGAAATCTGAACTTGGGTAGAGCCAAACCTCAGCAGGTGTCCAGGCTGAAGATGTGTCCAGGTTGCTGTCCCCAGTGCTCTTCCAAGAGTCCCAGGCACACCGGACTAGGACAGACAAAAAGGAAACAGCCAAGGCTCAGCTGCTCATGGACCACAGCTACTCTATCCACCAGGTGATGCCCAGCCCATGCTCTCATTTACTCAACTATTAAGTGACCACTGCCGGTGGTATGGCCCTAGGCCCTGAGGATTTAGCCTAAAAAGAAACGTCCCTCCACCAGGGACTCAAATTCTCGTTGTTGGTGGATTTGCCAGGGGTGGGGGTAGGGGAGGCAGACAATAATTAAGATAAATTAGCACAGTATAGACTAGGATAGGCAGTCGTGAATAGCCACAGTATGGAGGAAAGTAAGCAGATAAGACTTAGCAAGTGGTTGCAATGTTTTCCATTTTGAAAGAATACTTCCGGAGAATAACAAATAGCACAGTGATGTATATTTCCCAACATGAAAAAAAAATGGTTTCCTATGTTTTGGCAGTTTTTTAAGTGTTTCTGGTAGGCTTACAGCCAAATTCCACCACCATTCCTACCCCTTGGGGACAACCCAGGAGGCTGCTGGGTTGCTGTGTTGGGTCATTGAGAGGCACAGAAATGGACCCTGTGCCTTTTCCTTGTTCTTTCTACTGACATAGGGAAAGGGATGCTTCTTTTAGGACTCTTAACTGGTTCTCTTTATTTTTACCCAAACCCACTAACAATGATCCAGAGGAAACCTGACATTCATGATTAATGTTCACATTGATAGTTTTTCCTTGTTTTCATTGACCCAGAGTTTTTCTTATTGCAACTGTCACCCAGGCTTGTACACATCTGAGCCAGCAAAAGCAAATGAATCCCATGTTCTCAACAAGACACCATAAGGGCTAGAATTGACCTTGTTTATCAAATGGGAATTTGTTTTCTCTGCTGAGGTTGGAATTTGACTTGGCCATGAGACTGGAGAGTGAGTCCTGAATTGAATTAATCTTCAACTTGGCACATCGTGTACTTATTTTGTTTGGATTCCTCAGACAAATTGTACTTTTCTATGGGGCAGATGAGATCCTCATTACAGTGACTCAAAAACACATTTTAAGTGAAAATCAGAGGCCAGCGCCGCGGCTCACTAGGCTAATCCTCCACCTTGCGGCGCCGGCACACCGGGTTCTACTCCCAGTCGGGGCACCGGATTCTGTCCCGGTTGCCCCTGTTCCGGGCCAGCTCTCTGCTGTGGCCCAGGAGTGCAGTGGAGGATGGCCCGAGTACTTGGGCCCTGCGCCCCATGGGAGACCAGGAGAAGCACCTGGCTCCTGCCATCGGATCAGCGCGGTGCGCCAGCCACAGAGCGCCAGCCGCGGCAGCCATTGGAGGGTGAACCAACGGCAAAGGAAGACCTTTCTCTCTGTCTCTCTCTCTCTGTCTCTCTCTCTCACTGTCCACTCTGCCTGTCAAAAAAGAAAAAAGAAAAAAAGTGGAAATCAGAGAATGAATGGAGCTATGGAACTGGGGAGAAAGCTCTTGCAAACGTGCATGCATCCATTCAACGTGCATGGAGAGCCGAGTAAGCACCCATCACTGCTGAGAGTGGAGGAACAAAGTTAAGAGACTTACCTGCCTGCATCAGACACCTCTTATGCGCACTTCAGACTCTGTCTAATCTGCCTCTTGTCCTAAACCAATGGTTCTAACTGGGGGCTATTCTGTACCCTCCAAGGCAAGTGGCAATGTCTGGAGACATTTGTTCTTGTCATCATTAGAAGAAGATGTAGGGATGTTTGCCATCTATTGGGCAGAGGCTCAAAATGCTGCTGATCATCCTGCAATAACAGCACAGTCCGCTGAACAAGAATTATCCGCCAGAAGTCCATTGTGCTGACTGGGGCACCCTGTTCTAAGGTTGCTACCACAACCAGTCCTAATGTGAATGACCAACCCTGAAGCTGTCTTTCCTCCTCCTTGCACCACATGTCTCTTGCCATCCTTTGCTCCCATCTCCTTTCTTTGCACCTCGTTTCTTCTCCCCAGGATCATATTCATTAAAGAAATCATGCCAGCAAAGCTTCTTCCTTAGGTTCTGTCTTCTAGGGATTCCAGGGTGAGACATTGACTTTCAAGAACTTTACAGCATTGTAGGAAGAACAGCTAAAAGTATTACCAGGATTTTCAAACAATTCTGGTGTCCTTTGTTTTGTCAAATAAAGGGTGAGAGTTGAGATTTGTTGAGCCCTTATGATATGCCAGTCTCATTCCTTTATCAGCCAATGGAACAATGAACGCATCCCAAAGCTCAGAGAGGTAATCTCAAGGGGATTTTCAAGGCACACATAGTAATAAAGCAGCTGATTCTCCAAGAGACATAGCAATCCTTAAAAATATATGGGTCAGGGCCTGCGCCGCGGCTCACTAGGCTAATCCTCCACCTTGCGGCGCCGGCACACCGGGTTCTACTCCCAGTCGGGGTGGCGGATTCTGTCCCGGTTGCCCCTCTTCCAGGCCAGCTCTCTGCTGTGGCCAGGGAGTGCAGTGGAGGATGGCCTAAGTCCTTGGGCCCTGCACCCCATGGGAGACCAGGAGAAGTACCTGGGCTCTGCCATCGGATCAGCATCGTGCGGCCGGGCCGCACACCCCAGTCACACTGGCCATAGGAGGGTGAACCAAACGTGCAAAG